AAAAAAAAAAAAAAAAGAGGAACAAAAAAAAAATTACAATTTCTTAATGGTTCATTAAATTTCAGGGTGTTAATTTTCGAAACCATGAATTTCAGAAGCGTACGTTTTGCAATTGGGAAACAATTGATAACTGCGTTTTTTTTTTTTTCTTTTGATTATTTGATTGTGAAAAAAAATTGAGTCAACAGATATATACAACGCAACGGGAGTATGAAATGGAGGTTTAGCTTCACTGACGGAGAAAGCTTACTGAAGTTTTTTGTCGTCCCCGTGGGTCCATCAGGTTGGGTGAAGTGGCAACGTACATATGTAGGTATGTATACACGTATGTATATACCCATGCGTGCGCGAATATGCCCATTTACGCGTAAATATACATGTTCTACATATATGTACCCGTGTGGGTGGAGGTTATTCGCAACTTTGTTAATCCTCCTAATTACGGTGAAAAAGCGAGTTAAAACAGTTGCAACTCATACTCTTCAGAAAAAAAAAAATTTACGTAACTACTGTACTAATTAGACTTAAAAGGTTTTAGCAATGTAGAACCATGTAAATGCAGAGAGTTAAGCAGTTTTGTAGAATTATTTGTAACGTGTGTAAGAACAAGAATTTCTAGTCGTTCATACCCGTGTGTGTGCGTTTTTTTTTCTTTTTTACGCCGTGTAGAATGAACATCTATCGCCAGGTTAATTTGCCACGGATGCGCAAATATGTGTACGTATTTGTGTACGCGGCGTTTAGCACCCTTCCGTGACATTTTTCCACTTACGTGTAAATTCCAAATCGCGTAGAAGGAACAAATTTCGGTTTTGCGCAATATAGGAAATTAGCTTTCTCCATTTGGAAATGTTTACCGAGTGGTGTTTTTCTTGTTTTTCCTTACTTCGCCTTATTTTTCTTTGGCGTTATATTATTCTATTTCTTTTTTTTTTCCTCACCTCCCCACAAGAGTCCACTGCTTTTGCAAATGTGTGCACATGGGTGTGTCCACCATTTTCGACAACTCAAGCGCGCGTCGATAGAAATACTTGAAACTTTGGAAGAAAGGGAAAGGCAAAGCAAAGTGAAACAAAGAAAAAGGGCGAAATTAATTCTGTCTATGTTCCACCTCCACAATTAATTGTAGAATTGCCCTTTTAACAAAAAAAAAAAAAAGAAATACCTTTTTATAACACTTAATTCTTGCAACAACAAATAAGTTGAAAAAATCACCTAACCATTCAGCTAAAAGTAAGAATATTGTGGATCACATTAACCCTTGCACACAGTTAAATAGCTATTTTTTTTTTTTTTTTCCTTACAATTTGAAACACTCTTGAGAAATTTTGGTTAGTCAAAAAAAGAAAAAAAAGGAAAGTTCCACCCGTTTGGTAAGAACTGACTTTTGTTGTAATGCGTAATTAAGCTTCGCGCAACCACCGGGTGCTATAAAAATACCAGCACACCTCGGAGTGCATACATATGTCTCCACATGCGTACTCGTAAAGGCACAAAGGAAAACATTAACGTGATGAAAAATAGCGACTTGTGAAGCATTTTAACCTATCGAATTAGTGAAACCGCACAATGAGCGGGGTGAAAGGGCGAAAAGAGGAAAAAGCCAAAATGGGAAGAGTAAGTGCTGTTAAAAAAGGAGTGATATAAAACAAATGCAACAAGGGGGTCATGAAAAAAAAGTATGCAAACATACATATATATTCACATGCGTACGTATTAACGTAACAACGCTGGTTGAACTCCTAAAAAGCAGAGCTATTGTTGCGTGTTTGTGCTCCCCTTTTTGCAAATGTAAACGTAGTGCAAGCTGTCATCCACAGGGGGGGCTGCGGCGATTGAGAAAAAAAGGGTGTAAACGAAATGGGAGAAATGGTAAGTGAACCAAATCCGGACAAGGAAAAAAAAAGAGGAAGAAATTAGCTACATGCCATCTTTAAAAACTCGTTTAAGTAGCACAAACTTACCTACTATTCCTAACATAGGCCGTTTAACTGTTTTCACTGCGACGTTCCACTTGTAGTCCGGCTTCTGCAAATATCCTAGTCGATAAGTCGGTTGCGCATGCGATATGACAACAAAGACGCCTTCGGGCCTAAATGAAATTCGTTTTTACCCGTTTGGGGTAATTTTATGGAGAAAATTTTGAACTCGGAAAATGCGAAATGTGAAAAGGGCAAACGAGAAATCGTGGGAATGAAGAAGAACTGTCGTTATGAACGAAAACGCCGCAAAGAATGCTTAATTACTTTAACACGCGCGATACTTCGGACAACATTTCCTCAGCGTTTTTTAAGGAATCTTCCGAGCAAACCACAGAGTCTAGACATGCCTTATCCACGATTAGATCAAATTCTGCATTTTTAAATCCCTTCATGTCGCACACGTTCATTAGTATGTCTGCAGGGGGTTGTAAGGGGAGGAGGCGGACATATATTTGGCACAACTGCTTCGTCCGAGTAAGCCTGCATAGGAATGCATAACTCTATTTTCGCGTGTGTACAGCTAAATACGTATTCGAATTTTCTTCCCTCTTTTTGGAGCAAATCGCTTATATGGAATGGAGCACCAACTACAGCGCCACATTGGCACATTTTTTTACATTTTAAATTCGGCTTGTCCTTGTAGATTTCTTTCATCTTATTTATGCACACAGTGGATGCATCAATGTTCGTTATATCCGTGTAGCCATTGTCTAGCATTTCTTCGCTGAATCCTTCAGTAGGCAGAAAATAGAGGCATATGTGTGTATGAGTTAGCGCGCGTATGCATATGTGGATGGGAAATGCCTATAGGATGGACATTTGTGCCTGTCGGGGTTCACACAAAATCAAAGGCAAATGGTGTGTGTACATGTTCGTTTATTCCTACTTGATGTCCCACAACCGACATTCAAGATCTTTGCGTCATTTTGTAGGTTAAGCTCTGAGAAAATATGCTTTACACTACACCATTTTTGATGCCAGTCAAATTGCTCTTCTTCACTTTAGACGGAAACAAAAACAGGGGGAAACATAAAAGGCAATCGATTTAATCGAAATAGAGCGAATTGATGAGATCGGTTCATGCAAGTGGTGAATTTATTCCTGTGTTACTTTGTGTATCGCTCGTCCCAGTAAGATATATTGCCGTACTACATTGGGACAGAAAAAAAAAGCAACATTTTAGCAGTTTATAATGCAAATATAGGACGAGTTGAATAATATATTTTTTTTTTCACTAATGGCAACTTGAAACTTGTGTATGGCATACGCGACATGCTTGTTACGCATTTTTTTAATAGCAATTTTGGTTGCAATTTTAGTTTTAGTTTTTTTTCGTTGTTTAATGTACCACTGCCATGGTGAAGGAAAAGTCGGCGTCGTATTATCTAAATACATGAACGGAAACTGTTAATCAGCACGTTCGGGTGTCCGCGAATTAGGAGTCTGTTTTCTACTAAATGGGAAGAAAAGAGAGTTGGTGCTTTGAAGCACGCACACACATGTTTCGTTTTAGAGGGACAGCTCATTGGATGAATTTGTTTTTGCTACATTGTGTTGCCATTAGGATGTACTCCCCTTAAGCACTACATGTTTGTTTGCCCTTTAAGCATACCTGTTTTTTTTTTTTTTTTTTTTGGCCCTCAAATTAGGGGTGTCACTTTGAATTGGGGAAATGTGCCCAATCTTGATAAAAGAGGGGAATATACATATGTGTAACAGGAATGTTTACGTAGTGTTTTTTTTTTTTTTTTTTTTTGTACACATGTTTTAGGCAAAATTTATACAGATTTGTTTGCGGGCTTTGCGTGGCTTTTAGGCATGTGCACGCAGCACGCCCGAGTAGCACGCATAAATACATAATGCACCCTTGCGGCGCGCAGTGGCAGGAATAAATTTCATCATTTCTATTTCCTGATATTGCGGAGGCCTTCCTGTAAGTAGCTCTTCCTCAAAAGCATAAATCACATTTTTGCCTTTTGTTTCGCAATTAACAATACCGTGTGTTTTACGAAGTGAACTCTGATGCCTACACAAGACAATTTTTTTTTTTTGCATACTTTATGCAGATGTGTCTGCATATTTAATAGGCCCATTTTTTTTACTCATTTTTACCGTTTGAAAAATTTAGTTATTTCGCGGGTATTTCCTTTTATAATAACTTTTCATTATCGCATAGTAAGTTCAGAATTTTATTCTGCATTTTATCGATTTTGTTTAAGCGCTCCTCTATCTGCTCGTGGGGGGAGTAAAAATGTTTTGCTTTATGAACGGGACGAAAACAAAAGAAAAAAAAAATCAACCTCTGTTTATGAGCTCAACAGGTTGTCTTAATGAGATTTTTTTTTTATTTGCCCCCTAGTTTAGCACATGCTTTGTTATTTTGCTCCGTTTTTTTCTAAATTCGTGACGTAACGCGCACTGGGGGTATAGGAAGAGCTAGGAGACATGATCGACTATGCTCGCTACTTTAACGATCAAAGTGAAACACTCGCGATGAGAAAACTTCCGTAACGCGTTACACATTAGTGTGGAAAGGACAAGGCGCTACATTTTATGTATACATGTAGAACCATTATATGGATCATTACTTCTTTGAAGAAAATTTTCATTTTTTCGTTTTTCTCATTTGTATCTGGTCGTTTCTGTTTATTCATTTTGTTGACAAAGGAAAGGTTTGTTACTCTGGCACAAAATGGGTTACCAAAAAGGAAGAAAAGGAACGCTTAAAAAAAAAAAGGGGTGTCCATATTTTTTAGGTTGCTGTTCTTGATATTTCAAGTGTGACGGTTATGTTGAGAGATACATATGCATACAGGGTTGCGCTATGGGGAATGTTACTACACAGCTATAGAGCATACATGAAAGTTCGCTCACCCTTTTGCTTTTTTTTTTTTTCCTTCGCTTTGGCACAGTAGTAAGATAGAAAAATTCAGGGCGGTATTCGAAAGAGATAGGAGCTTTCTTTTTTTGTGTGTATAAAAATGGGAAGTTTATTTTAACATCAATTTCATTGCCATTGGCGCATTGTACTTGTTCCTCTTTTTTTATCCTTTCGTGTCTGTAAGCTGGATGAATGTTTGGAGATGCTTTCGATAAAGCGTACGTTTTTGAAGTTTGTTGGGAGCATTTGGTGTCGGTTGTCGTTTGCTTTGCTTTTTCGTTTTTTGAGCCTTATGTATTTTTTCGGCTCTTTATCTTTTCAGATTTTTATCTTTTCAGTTTGTTATCCTTTCAGTTTTTTATCTTTTCAGCTTTTTTGCGTTTTTCATATATCTGTATTTTTCACGTTTCGCACTTCTTTTTGTTCTTGCCTTTTTTTTCTGTTTTCTTTCTTTTTTGCGCTCTTTTGAATCGCTTCGAATTCGCTCAGATTTAATTTTTTTTTTCTGTTCAAGACTATCTTTTTTTTTTCTATGAGCAAAATTTCTTGCTTCTTCTTCACTTATTTATTTTATTTTTTAAAAATAGTGACATACTTCTACTTTTTGTTCAATTTTTGTTTTTTTCAAACTATTCGCTTTAGCATCGCCACAGTGGTTTCAGCTTTTCCAATCTGTACACGTTTTTTTGACACGTATTTGAAAAAAGGGTTATGTTTAAGATGAAAGTACAAGGGGGCCAAACGAATCCAAATTGAAAGAAAAGCCAAGTGAAGAGAGAAAAGAAAACGAGCAAAGAAGGCGGAGTACGACGTAGCATATATAAATAGCACCAGTAGGTAAGAAAAGTAGCCTACGAATGGGTGGGTGTATATATGTAGCACCAACGGGTGAAAAAATTAGGGCACGAATAGGTAGAAGAAAAATTGCTAAAAGGAAGTAGCGAAAAAGGACGAAAAGGAAATTAACCCATAGCGCCTGGTGGAAGGCAAAAATTGACTATCAAACGTGTTGATGTGTAGTTTTACTTATTTAGTCTTTTTTTTTTTCTTTTTTGTTTTTAAATGAGTTTTTCAAGGTTCTTGGTTATTTACACAGAAGAAAAAAAAAAAAAGCCAACCCCAGTTTGTCACTCCATCGTGTGTCTTTTAAAATAATTTTTTATTTTTTCTTTTTTTTTTTCTTCTTCCATTTTTTAGCTTTAATTTTTTCTTTTTCCTCCTCCTACATTTCTGTGGCCTCGCTTTATTTTGCATTCCCCTGTGTGTTACATGTTTGAAAAGTCCTATTTCGAGCACACCTACGTTTTTACACCTCAGAAATGTTGTGACATTTGTGTGTATAAGTACATTTCGCGCATGTGTATGTAGATAAGTGCTCCTTTTTCGTGCATGGGTTGTGGGGAAGGTGGTCGGAGTCCAGATTGGGGCATTTTCGCGTCCATATCCTGAGCTCGCAGATGAGGGTGTATTTTGTTTTTTTTTTGTATGCGAGATTGTAAAGAAAGTGCAGATATTAAGGTAACAGGTGTATACACACATGCGCGCGAGCATTTGCCCATGTCCAATTCCTTCCCTCGCACATGTCTACTTAGGCGCACACACGCATACTTACGCCTTCGCCAAACTTCCACGTAGATCGGCCTGTAGTAGTAGCAATACAGACAGCTTTCGTTACACGTAACCATTTTCCTCACTCCAAAAATTAAATGATTCCAATATTACCATTTCTATATTTGGGAGACAGGGATGACATAGATCATGTTGAAAATCTTAAAGAGAAGAATGTACAGGCACTGGTAATATGTTGCACTTATATCGAGTACCCTGAAGATAAAGTCCCAAATGGATTTGCGAAATTACGAGTTAATTTGGAAGACATAGGAATGGAACAAATATCTTCCTATTTTGAGGAATCCAATAATTTTATTCATTCGTATGTTAAGAAGGAGCAGGGAGTTCTCATCTCATGCTGGTACTTTCTTTTTTTTATTTTATTTTTTTTTTTATCCTTTCTGATGGAGGTGTACCTGTGTGTTGATCCATATATAATATTCATTTTGGTGTACCCTCGCCATGTCACTCATTTGAGTATGCCCCTTTTACGTATCAATCAATGTGTGAATAGTCACTCGCGCCACTCCCTTTTTACAGCCAAGGGATCAGCAGATCGTCCACGATGTCTATAGCCTATCTGATGGGAAAGCAGGTATTTTTTTTTGTGAAAACAAATTTGCATTGTTTTTCTCTGGCCTTTCTACGATCCTTAACTGTATATTCACAAAGTTCTGAACGTTCAGACAGTTCCACACTGGCACTGTGTCTACCACAAGGTTTTCATTTTTTTTCTTCTCCCTTTTGTGCCTGTGCCTATGCCTGTTGTTTTTGCCGTGCAGAATTTTTGCCTCCTTGAAGCATTCAACTTTATAATGGAGAAGAAGACCATCTGCCCGAACATTGGATTTATTGAGCAGCTGTGTGACTATGAAAAAGTTTTAAAGAACAAAATTACCTTTTCCTCCAAGAAGTACATAAACTGGTTTACCTCCGAGATGTATGACAACAACGTAATGACGGATTTCTGTCTGGATTGCAAAAAGAACACTACGTAGATTTTCGTTTCGCCAGCGATCGTTTTGAGTAGTGCCTAATCGTGGACTACTTTACTTACAGTGGAAGAGAGGCGTAATTTTTTTTCCCCTGTTCGAGCGAACGGAGGGTTGTCAGAGCGCATATTTTGGGGGGGGAACACACGCGTCCACATATATGCACGCGTGCTCGGATATAAACACTCACACGTGTCTAGTGATCTATCAGCTCGTTCAAGTGAAGGTAAAGGTCAGGTGAGGAGAGGACCCCCGTTTTTGATTCAATTTAATAGATCCCCCTTTTTTTTCTAAAGGAACAGCGAGCGTATTCGTCTTTCCTCTTTGATTTCTTCTCTGGGAGGGCGTACAATTGTACGTATATATATATAGTCATGCATAGGAAGACTCAGCAGAACATTGCGTTTCCCCCTTCTCCACCCCCATTTTTTTTTCTCAAATATATACTTTACCCTAATTCGAATATATACATGTGCAGTTATTAAAAATTAAGAAATGATGATCATTTTTTTCTGTTTATCATTCCCATTTTGTATCCTTTAAAGTGTTATTTCGTGGTACATAAGACTTTTGAGGAAATTTAAAAATTGACCATTCTGTTTTTATTAAAGTAAACATGAACGGAGAATTGCATAGATTTTTTTCATCTCCCATTATATATCTTTTTTTTCTGTTTTGCATTTTATGTTTTTTCGTTATGTGTAGTAGCCCCTTTAGTATAGTTCAGAAAATAATTGGAGGTGTGTCTACACCTGTTGAATGTGAGTTTGTCTTTTCATTTCGAAGTGTTTGTAACTGCGTACTGACTTGATTTCACTCCTGCTTTTCCTTGGCCTTCTCAAAAATGGATGCATAGCGGAAAACGCGTGTGTCTGCTTGTTCGTGCAAATATGTGTATGCATGTATATACACTTTGCCGCGGCTCGGTACCTCTAATGGCTTTTTTTCTCACCCCTTTTTTTCCTACCTTCTCTAAATAGCCAAAATAGGGCGTAAAAAATAGCTATCTGAAAAAAAAAAAATGCAAAATGGCTAGCCAGTAAAGAACTTAGCTGAGCATTTTTTTTAGCCATTTTTTATGTAGTTCGAAGTCACCTCGTCCGGGTGTGCGAAGCGACATAGTGGAGGAACAATTAAGTCACGTGCAATTAAGCGCAGCATGGGAAATGTCGATTTTGAGGGGGAGCTAATTCTCAGTACTGGCGATTTATTTCCACAGAAGGGGTAGACGATCGTAAGCACAGCGGAATGTTGTTTATTATTCGAAAAAAATGAAAAAATAAAATGACAAGGAAAACGAAAGCAAACGATAAATTAAGTAAATGTCGAAATAGCGTGCGTGTAGGGAATAGTCGAGTATATGCCAGATGAAGTAAAAAATACCTGTATGGAAAAAAAAGAAAGGAAAACTTGCTCTCTTTCCCACTCTGCATGCGTAGACGTTCCCCACAATTCGCAAAACGATGAAAGGGCGCTACGCATTAGTAGGTATAAAGGAAAAAATGTGCGATGAGCCAGAAGTAGAGCCCATTCCTTTTAAGGGAATTTCTTCTCATGACACGTTTTGGCTACTCCCATTTTGTTAACAGATGGGTTACGCCCATTTCGCGTGTTACTCCTTTTTTTTCCCCTTTTTTCCCTCCTTTTTTATAACCTCCAACCGTTTGTTCCCTCCCCCCAACAGATGCGCCGCACAAACGAAGATGGCTGATGTTGTTTTTTTTTTCCTATTGTTGCATGGTAGACAACATGATATGTTTCACATTCGCGCCAATAAGCACCGTAACGTACAAATTATACGGAATCTCGAATAATATATTTCCGCAGGTTTACCTGGTTATATATTCTATATTTTCAATCCCGCTGTCCTTCTTGTTAAGTGAATGTTCGTTACGAAGCAACGTGGTGTGCAGTTCGCTACTGCAATTCATGGGTTGTTTGTTAAGGTACATATATTGGGAGAACTTAACGGTTGTTATGTTTGGTCAATTTCTATCATCAATTGGTCAAATAATTTTTGTGAATGCTCCTCCGGAAGTTTCCCTGGTATGGTTTCCAGAGAAGGAACGAATCATATCTACCAGTATATCTATAATTTCGAATGTGTTAGGCACAGCAATAATTTATTTGTATGTCCCCTTGGTGGTAATAAATGAGAAAGACATACAAGTGCTACTGAGTCAGATTTGTTTGGCTAGCTTTATCGGCTGTGTGATGGTAACATTGTGCTTTGAAAATAACCCTCCTCCCAGGATTGCTAGTTCTGTGCTATCCAACGCAGAATCATCATTCGACATGGAATTTCATCCAAATTTTAGCATGCTTGAAGAAGATCAAAATTTTGATACGTGCTACTTATGTATGGACAGTCCAGCAGAAGGGACAAGCGAAAATAAAATCACCAAATATTTGAAAGAGTTCAGACCATTTTTAGTGTACCTGAAGGAAGAAATTGAAAATATATTAACAAAGGAGGAAATTATAAAAATTTTAATCATATTTTGTTACTCAGAATGTTTAATTAGTAGTTTTTCGGCAGATATGTCTATCGTTTTGAGAGAAAAAATGATAAGCAAAAATTACTTCTCCTTAGCTGGGTCCTTATTTATATGTAACACGATACTAGGAAGTGCACTAGTCTGTTTGAATGCTAATAGTGCCCATTTTAAGCTCCTAATCCTTATGTGCATATGCATGATTATGTCCGTTTGCGTATTACTATATCTGACTGGACATCCCATTTTGATCATTCTTACTTTAAGTTTAATCGGCTTTTGGTCTGGTCCCTTACAGCCAATATGTGTTGAAATGGCGTCCATAAGAATTTATCCCATCAGTTCCAATTTGTGTACTTCTCTTCTTCAAGTAATTTCCTTTTCCGTTAGCGCAATTTTTATATCATTTTTTTCGTACATATCTACCTATGTCACTACTCCTCTAGTGGTCTTTTTCCTATCCGTCCTCATGCTGCTAATCGGTCTGAAGTTAAAACCGATTAGTGCTAAGGATAGTAAGAGGAGGGAACGCGTCACGACGAATAATATTTCCTTCTCATATAGAAGTGGCCTCATAAATAGGAACATTTTAATCCGGACGAATAAGTTTTCCGACTTAACTGTGGACTTATTTGATGACCTGTTCCATGAGCGGGAGCGCGATGATCCCTTGTTTGGGGCATCCCCTTGGGATGCTGTCCTGGAAAGGGGAAGCAGCAGCGATTCGGAGAACATAGTCCAGGAGAGACCTGTGGAGTCAGAAAATATCCCCACCTGTGTAATGCGCGTAATGAAGGAACATTCAGGAGGAGAAGACCACCACAAAATCGAACTGAACAAGGAACTCAATTTGGATAACCTAAAAAAGGATCTTTTCTTTTATAACCAAAAAGTCGAATCGCCGAAGGGGGGGTCTAAATCTTTTTCCAGAAATTACTGCGATCAGTGTAGTGCCCATTTTGACGAAGAGAAAATGCACTTTCCAAAGTACAACACGTGCTAGCCATTTTACTAAGAAGGAATTCTGTCCCTTTCGTAATTCTTTTCCGGCTGGGGCCCCTGCCTGGGCACGGGGAAACCGACGCTTTGTTCGCAAGTTCAGGGGTCTATTATTTTTCTGTGCTCATCTTCGGGCAATAGCTTATTTTTCAAAAAGTGCAAATGTAACGCGGTTAAAATGCTTACTTGTTTTAACATTTGAAAATTTTAAATTTATTACTATCAATATTATTATATTTTTTTATGCTTTTTTTTTATTTTTACTTTTTCTCTTTCTGGACCCGATAGGGCACACAGTGCAGCCCCCTTCCACCATTTTAAACATTTGGAATGTCTTCCAAATATGCGTGAACGTTTTGTCAATTTTTCTTTCGCAGAAGTGAACACTTCGCTTGTATACCTAGAGAATAAAGGGTTACCCTTTTTTGTTTAGTCCGCTTGCTGGAAAGGACGAGAAGTAAAAAAAAAAAGGTGAGGTGACGCGGTACGCGATGTGCATGACTCTTCCTGTTTTGGTTTCATTTACGTCCACTCGCTAGTGGAATCCTTTTTATGTTTTAAGCAAGACTATAATGTCATGATGTTGTATGATGCGCCACTAAGATGTTCAATTTCATTCTTCGCTTCTTTTTTTTTTTTTTTCTCGCTATACCGTTTAGATGTGTTACGAAATTGTGCACACATAGAACAGACGTAATACGCGACAAACGGAGTTTATACCTTTTTGCGCCCTTTTCGCGTAGCATCATAAGAAGTTTGCACTTGCTGCTCGAAAGAAAAAGAGTCGAAAGGGCTTCTTCACGGAATTAGCCTTTCCCATTTGGTCATTCGCATGGAGCAGATGCAGGGGAGGGAAAGCAAATAGTGCACTTATGGATAATCGATAAAGAAAAGCCATCTGACTAATCCTCCTCTTAAGCTATCACAGTGTGTAAAGAGATTCTACCCCCAATAGCGGGTCTATATATATGTGCGCGTGTGTACTACGGACACTTCACAAAATATGAACATGTTTGGAGCGCCCCCTTCCATGCGGTTTGGCCCAAGTCGTCCCTCCCCAATTTCTACATTAAAAAAAAAAAGCAATTCACTTATGCGCGGAAGTAATTTCTCATTTTTTTCTTCCCAACTGGTTTAGCTCTAAAATTGGCGTGTTTTCGCGGGCGAAGAAAATCTAAAAGGCCTACCCTGTGCTGAGGTTGCACCGGGAATGTGTCATGTGCCTATTCATACATAGCTATGTATATATATGCATACACATGCGCTTCCACGTACAAATATTTGTGGCTGTCTCTAGACAAGAAGCACTCCCGTGAACTGCGGAGGTAAAGGTGATTCCCCTGTCAGGAATAGACTTACGTCCGCGAGGGGGGAAGGTATAACGGTTTATTTCTTTTTATTACCCCTTTTTTTTTTTTTTCTGACGAAAAGGTAAAAGTTCTATTTCTAAAATTGTCTAGTCATTTCGTAAAAAAAAAAAAAAAAAAGGAAGTCTTACATTCTTAATATGCTACTCCAAGGAGATATGACCAATTTGTGAGGCATTTATTTTTTCCCTTTTTTTTCCTATCATGTGCATATGTATAGTTATTTGCATGTAAATGTGCATATCTCTTTGGTGACTGGACAACGAAACCGGCTCACCTACCAAAGTCAACTGTAAACATGCGTAAATTTAATTTGATAAGTACAAAAGAGGTGTCCGAAATTGTGAGTTGGTACACCCATGTCTGTGCTGGGACCATGCAGGGCTACCGCGCAACGGAGGAAGATGTAAGGCTTGTTTCCCTGGGGACAGACAGTGCCCTCGACTTCTTACCATTTTAGAAGAGTGTTGTACTGCTGCGGTGGACGAGGCCACAGTGCTACGTCGTTGTGTCGTCTCATTTATGATTTTTTTTTTTTTTGCGTCGCTGTGCAAAAGAACAGAATAAAATGGGAGCACTCACCCAAATAAACATTTCTTGTGCACATTTTTTTTGCTTCGTAAAGATCGAGATTATAATTTATTTAACGTTTTCCCATTTTTCGATGAAAACACCCTTCGTTTTGTCGTGGCGAAGGGGCACTAAGAGTTCCGCCGCGCATACACACAGGGGTACGTATGGCCTCATGCCCCCGCACTCACCGCCGCAACATTCCTTCCTCCCTCCGCTCCCAGGCAACGGTCATCTTGGCGTCTCTCAAGAATTTCCCCTTCTGCAGGTAGGATGAAGCACCCCTGGAAATGGCTAATAAAATAGGCATTTCCCCCCCAGGAAGTGTGTTAAACTCGATGCGTCATTTTTTGTTTCGCGCGAGTGGTGCCCGAGCCTCACCTCGGTACATCTGCACACCGGCACATCTGCGCATTTCCCCGTTTCACCTTTATTCTCGCTAATTTAAGGCTGTGCACAATATTCGATGGGTAAACAACGCGACGAAGGATAAGAGAGACAATCTAGCTCTTTCCAAAAATGAGACGTCAACCGCGGAAAGCACATGCTGAGAGAGTGCTCCTATTTATATCCCTCCTCACATTACTGGGGTGAGAAGCAAATGCAATTTTTCGACTTCTCACAATTCAGCCATATAGGAAAAGAGACAGCCTTATACTGCGCTCGAAATATAGCGGATTTTATAGGTACGTTTGCAGGAAGGGAATTTTTTTTTAAATTATTTTTGGCTATAGAATATTTTCCCATGTTTCGCATTTTGGCCAATTCCAATTTGAAAACGCTTGCAACTGCGTAGAACGATTATTTTTTTTTTTTCTTCTTTCCCATCAGGAAAGTGCGAAACGTTGGACGCCCGTAGCATAACAGATGCCTGCATCCAGATGGACAACGAAATTTTAAGTGAGTAAAAAAATTTTATCCACTCCAAAATTGGGGTGAACAAAGAGGTGTACTCTACACACGAGCACAAATCTCTGTTTGCGTTTTTCTTCGATCGAAAGAACCCCACTTTTGTCATGACTATGCACAAGGCACGGTGTTGTCTATTTGTTTATGTTTACCCACACGCATGATTGCGCATAAGCTCTGTATCCCATCCGAACGGGGAATAAATCCGATTTAATTGGCCTTTTCAAAATGATGCGCATTTTTACTCACCCCATTTCTTAGACAGCAATTTTGCCAATAGTGGATCCACAGGTAAGAAAGATTAAAGGACCTTTTTTTTTTTTCTTTCAAAATAGGGGAACATACAAAAATCTCCCTCTATATGAGCCTCCTTGAAATGTGCCACATGAAGGATTAGCACAAAATTGAAATTCTTCGTGATCTGTATGTAGATATGCCTCCCTCCCCTCTTTCAGCCATCATTGCCATCATTGAAAAGGTTATGAACCAGGATGTTTTCAAGCTTTACATTTGCAACTTAGGTAGTCCCCCGAAAATTTTTAGCTTACAAAATGTGCTTTCTCTTTTACATTTTTCGTTTTTACGTCAAATAGTAGATGTGTCGTTGGGCGATGACCCTCCATACACTCCTTCTCTTTTTATGCCATTTCGCTAACGTTAAAATGTTCATTACTAGTTAGCAACTATCAATTATTAGCTATTAATTATTCCCTATTAATGCTTACCCCCCCCTTGTGATTACACCATTGAAGGTGACTCTCGGGCAATGCTAATCAAGAAGGATGGTTCGTTCATCTCCCTGAGCGAAGATCACAAACCATACAACAAAAAGGAAAAGGAGAGAATCGACAAAATTGGAGGCTTCGTGGAAAATGGAAGGATACTTGGCTACATTGGTGTGTCCAGATCGTTTGGGGATAAAGTAAGCAGCAGTTTCTGAATATGTCACCCCATTTGATAAATGCAGAAATATGGAATAGTAGCAATCGTTTCTTGGGTAGACTTTTTTTTTTTTTTTTTAATTTAAAAAAAAAAGAGAGAGAAACACGCGCATCTACACTCCTAGCAAAAATAAGGAGAATCTCCCTTTTTTTTTATGAATCCAACTTCCCTTTTGTAGAACTACAAAGGAAGGAGCAGCGTTCCGTATAACCCCCACGAGACGATGATCACATGCATACCAGACATAAAAATTTTTTATGCAAATTGCGACGACATCTTAGTGTTGGGGTGTGATGGTATATTCGAAATGCTTTCATGGAGTGAGGTCGCCAAATTCAGCTACGAGTGTGTCAATAGCTACTCACTAAGCGATGCAGTGATTAACATTCTAGATTATGCGTTGTTGTCTGGCTCCAGGGACAACATTACGATTCAAGTAGTTAAATTTTTTAACGAGCAAGTGAAAAGTTTCCATTTTCGAGAAAAATTGGTACCCAGCATTTATATACATAATGAAAAGGTAACCAAGTATGAATTCTATGGAAGGTTCCTAAATAAGTATCACATAAATGATAGGAATATTATCAACAACTTGATGGAATACTGCACCGAAATAAAAGAAAAGGGCTGTTCCATTGGCCCATTTTTAAAAAGAATGCGAGAAAATAAAAACACACATATTATATTAAATAGGAGGAATAAGAAAAACATCAAATATTTGACGTTGCCAATTCTGCAAGAGGATCTCAAAACCAACAACTCCTTTAATGCCATGGATCAAAACGACTTCAACAATATGAGGGAGTTTTTTAGAGAATACGACAAAAAGATAAATATGGTGAATTGTTCACATGGGATGAATGAAAAGACGCGGTGAATTAGGGGAAGATTACAAAAAATTTTTGTTAGGTATTCTCAAATGGGTTTCTACCTATGGGTCTACACTCCACATGGGGGAACGAAATTGTGGAGATGAGACATGCACACTACTGTATGTAGGCCAAAATGTGCTCTAAAAAAAGAGAGGAATATAGATGTTTGATCATTTTTTGAGCAAATATTCGTTTTTAAAGGTGTTATCAAAGAAAGCGTCCATTGCTGCAGTATTTTTATTCTTTCAAGCGTGTAGAGGAACGAATGCGTGAAGGCAAACTTTCGTCACTTCTAACTTTTGAGAGGAACATCTGAACATCCACGTGCACATACATACGTACTACTCCTTTCCCAGCATGCCGCGATTTTTTTTAATTGGGAAAAGTTATTAACCATATGTAGTGACACATCCCTAAGGCAACGGTACTATTGTGTAGAAAGTGGACACTATCGTATCCTCGCGATATTTATGTGTGACGGCCCGACCCCAAATGTTTCATTTGAAAAAATTTGAAGATCTTCCAAAAAGAGGAAAAAAAAAGAGAGCTCCCTTTTTTTTAATTTGTTTCCCTTTTATGTCCCGCTGAAATGGGGGCAATCGGGGGACGAAATGGCCCCTTTTTATTTTATCCCTTTTTGTTTTACCTCTCCCTATTTTTTTTTATATTGTTCTTCTTGTTGCTTCTTACATTTTACATGTGCCTAACAATCCTGTCTAAGTTCTCTTCTTTCTTCGAACGTGTGATTATTACCAAACAGGTAGCCATACGTAATGGTCGATTTTGAGAATGTTGCAAAGTTGAGTATCTAGCCAAAAAAGAGAAAAAAAAAATGGCTATGTATATATTTACGTATACAAACCCTTCGCTAGCCAAATTAGCAAGTCACGATTGTAATTTATATAAGCTTTAGCGACAACACTCAGTTAACCATATTTGTGTTGCGTGTGTGCGCTGCGCGAAGAGTCTAACCAAGTTGTCTTCCCCATTTGGCAGTTTTGTAAAGTTCGCGCGAACGGTGCGTTGTTCTTGCGCTTCACGTGCGTATGTACATATTTGTGTACAAAAGTGTGCACACTTTTTATGCCCTTTTCGCCTGAAAATTTTGCATGAACATTTTACATGAACATTTTTTTTTTTTTTTTGCAAAAGATGGCTAGTTCCTTCCCGCGGTGATGTCGTAAATTAATAAGACCAAAATTATATTTTCTTCTTTTTCACATTAAGTATTTCATTTTATTTATTTTATTTTTTTCCTTTTTCTTCTGCATACAAATGTATTATTATAAAACAATTTCGATTTAAATTTTATAAAATTTGTTCATTTCTCCAATTTGCTTCTGTTCAGTTTAAAACCTTTTACAAATTGGAAATACTTTGCTTCAAGACATAACTACCTTGTTAAAATTTCCCCTCTTCGTTTCCACACACGCGCGTTGATTTTGCACAAGTGCGCATACTTACCTCGGAATATACACGTTTAAGAAATCATTTTTCCCCAATAAGTCTTCCACCATGCAATCCTTCCAGTTCGTTCCCCAAGTAGATAACAAAGTAAACGTTGTTTCAATGCAGCCCTTTCAGATGTATGTCCCCAACCCTAATATGATGGTTCCTCAAGCATGTCCAGAAAACATACAGCAGTATCACCACCAGCCGATCTTTTTCGAGCCCCTTCCCCCAATATATGTGAAAAACCAGTTGCTGCCATCTCCTATTCTGGTGCAAATGCCCACAACGGTGGTTGTTCAGAATGAATCTCAACCGGCAATGGTTCTTAGTCAGCCACCCTCAAACATCGTAGTCAAGAATAATCCGCCGACATCCGTTTTCGTGAAGCAGTCCAATCCTAATGTAGTGGTGAAGAATGAAGCGCCGCCAAATTATGTGCAGAGTGTCGAGGCGTGTCAAGAGGGAGTGGTGACAGATATGAGCCGCCCCACGATGACCACCTTCAACAAAAATATTTTATAAAAACCGCAAGGCGTGGAGAAATGTACATACGTGGATATGATGCGGGTAAGCATGTTTCTACTGCACGTGTGTGGGGGGAGGAGTGACGCTACAGGATTAACCCACGCTGGTGCCAAGTAGGGCTAATTCAAATGAGCGCGGGAGGAGTGTCCAGCGTGGGGTACTCTACCAGATATGATGTCTCCATCTGACACAATGAATAAGCATATAAAGAAGTTACCACGTGAGCGTGCACGGGTGTGCAGGTGGGGGTATGAGCTTATATAGACATACAATCACACGTGCAGCAGACCCGCATGCGTATATTTTCCCCCCTCCGCCGAGCTCACAAATCGCCTATTTGATGATGAAAACGGCACTGCGAACACTTTCATATTAGCTTAAAGATCCAAGTTCAGCATAAGTGAATAAATGAGCCCGCTACAGGAAAGGGTTAAAAACGTTTATGTGTCCATTTTTTCTTCATGGCTTGGCCACGATGTAGACATATTTCGCTACCCCTTGATGACATACCTTTTTGTGCAGTTGTAAAAACATAATTTTGCATAAATGTAACTTTGTATGTACAGTTTTTCATTTTTTTTTTCTTTTTTTTAATGGAAAACTGACAATTTTGTTATATTAAAAGGGTAATTGTATAAAAGATGACCAAAAATGTACATGCGCTTTGTAGACGGTACGAAACCAAGCTTTTCCAATATGTTGCGTCCTATATGTGCAGGGATATACTCCACAAGGGTTTCAATTAAAAAGTAAAACTATTTCTTTTTAAGAGAAAGTTGTGTGTCATGAAAACAATTTTAAAAGTACTTTTTTTTATTTTTTTTTAATATGAACCACAAAAGTGGGAGAAACGATAAAAGGATCGAACAAATAGGACAACTAAAATGTTTATAAAGAGAAGAAAAAAAAAAAAAAAAAAAAAAAAAAATTCCTCACTGTGTACATCCAAATGAGTTAAGTTCTCACTACAAATGTGACAAAAAAAGATTGGCGCATATTTCTTCCCCGTATTGATCTGCTATGAAATAATTTTTTCGCTTTCCCTGTATATGCCCCTCTTTTAGGCATTGTTCCGCGTGCGTGTTGAAGAGGCTATCTGTTCAGATATTCGACTAAGCCGTTAGAGCCACCAGGTTCGATTATGTGTGCTGAAGGGAACGGGGCATGCAGATGTGTAGGCGCATATGAAGTGCATTTATATGTGCCCGCATTTCTGCAGCATAAATTTGCAGCCGTGGCATGTGTAAATCATTTTTGTGTCCCTCCGGTTTGTGGTTTCACTGTGCTGGTATAATTGTGGAGGTTAACACATATTAGCTTCCTTTTTTTTTGGCCGATCCCCAATTCTGAACTTTTAACATTTTGAAGCTGTGTTCTTCATGTAGTCCTCCCTTTTATTCGGATATAGGGTCATATTATAAGGGCAATAGCTGCCATCATTGTTGAGAGGGACCCTGGTAAAATACATGTTGTTCATAGGCTGAGATTTATTTTGATTCGTTATGTACTGATTAGAGTAAATATAGGGAGGGTCGATAATCTCGTTCATTTCGGGGGTAGTAACTCCAGGGAGGGGTTCATTTGTCCCTTGAGGAATTGCCGTATTAAGGTTGGTCATAGAGGTGAGTTCTTTCATTTGATGGTTGAGGCTTAGTGCATAATTGGAATTATCCGAAAATTCGTTCCCTGACTTTTGCATGATGATGTTTGGGTTTTGTTGTCTAACTATGATAGGCTGTGGTTCATCATTTTTAAGGATGATATTTTGTGGGGGCAGATCTAGCGTAATTGGTGGGTTCGGCTGTGTGTGAATTATGACGGTGGGTGGTTGCCTCACAATGATAGGTTGTATGCTGTTCTGCTGCACCATGACGTAGTACACGAGATGGTCCATTTTGCGGGGTAGAGCTCAAGGATTGGCAGAAGCGGCTGAGATGCCTGAGGAGGCTAATACTGGATATCTCGCAGAGAGACGCGCCAATTAGCAGCACAAGTGGAGGACCCGGAGTGGAAATACAATTTGGGAAGAAACTGGAACAGGCAATATTTATGGAGGAACACACTACCTCACAAATGCAAATGGGATGAATTTTTTTTTTTTTCTTTTTTTGGTAAATCCCCTTCAAGTATGAAAAACTCTTCGATAAAGTTAAACGAGTGGGGAAAAAAGCGCACAACACATGTTGGGTGGGGTTTTACTTATTTTGAGAATACGTGTAGACGGGGTGAAAAAGTTTGGAAGTCACAGTCGTGGTTTCATTTGTCCGCTCATCGTTACTCAATTATGCGTTCCGCCTGAGCTACTCTTTTTTTTTCGTCGAAGCGGACTCCCCTCTTTGTTTATAGCCTCCCACGGAGTTGAGTCCGGAGAAGTGCTTTTTCCGATTTGCTTCCACCTCGTGTATGTACAACGCGGGATGGAGGGACTTCAACCCTAGGGAACTTTTCACCGCTCTTTAGGGCGATGATGTTCGGCACTGTTTCTACTTACCTGGGTTGGAAAATATAAACGGTGAATATCTTCGTTTTTCCGCCTAGCATATTGTCATGCGGTGATAGGTCCACTGGAGGCGCGCTGTTCATGCGTCTAACATTTGCTCCTACCCGTGTGGGTCCCTTTTTAAACACGTGGAGGAAGGAAGTTGGGCTTTGACGGCAACTGGAATTTTATCCCCCACTATGTACATCCCCCATTGGTCTCTTATGGAAGAATATAATTTGTCATTAATTTGACTTTTTTCTTGAATAGATTTTTTGCAGTTGTAATGTATGCAGTATGGCAAAATAGATAAATTTTCGTTTCCAAAAATGGGGGAGGAAATAACAGGGCAGGGTAAAGGGATTATGCATCGAATCATGTAAAGGGTGTGTGCGTCGATTCATGTAAAGGGAGTGCGCATCGATCCATGTAAAGGGAGTGTGCATCGATTATTTGCTTCCTCAGCAACTTAACAATGTGTATCTGCGTCGTTAAAACAGTTTAATCGCCATGCCCATCGCGCTAAAACGCACTGACGGGGAAGAGATT